TTAAAATTCTACCCCGCTCACTTTAGCCAAATTTTTTTGCCAAGGTAAACAGTTTGCATTTTGAGATCCTTACCGATCATCTTGATCCGCCTAGCCTCGCTGAGTTGGTCTTTCAGACGTGATTTTACACAGACACACTGAAGACGGCAAAATGCATCGGTATGGATCAAATTGCAGGTTTATCACCCCGCAGATCGCAGGAAGAAATCTCACGAGTTTTGTGATAATGTTATTAGAAGAATCGGAAATTATATTATATTAAATAAATTAAATTAAATTGTATATAATCTTATATATTTTATGTTTATTGATCAAATACAAATGAGATAAATATAAACATTATCCGTATTAATAAGACGAAGTTAAACAGAAATTTTATGAGCCATGCTTTTCAAGTTGAACTTGTTTTTCGTACCAGCTCAAGCTTCAAGAGGGCAAATAAAGACTTCAAACACAGTTAAATAAAATCTCCGTGAGAACAAGATCATTAAAAAAGACTCTTTAACGTCCCATGTTATATGGTGCAGAGATAGAGGTACTTTATACGTACACCATATAAGACAAGGAGTTAACTTACGTTTTATTCGAGTACCCTTGTAGCACTTAAACCAAGCCCGTACAACAAATTATCTCATGAGGCAAGGAACGAGGTTAAGCCTTTTCAGGTTTTATGCCGCGTACACAAGCCCGAGGGAAGCTGAAATTATAACAGTCAGTCTATGTACATAGTAAAATTATTATATTTAACTAATAAAATATGTTCAGACTTTTAACGCATTTACTTTATTGCCTTTTTCAGATTATAGCTTATAAAATACAAGAAGCTAGATTTGCTCATTTAATCGATTGCTATTGGACTTATATTGCACGGTTTATGTAACATGGACAACTCATAAAAATTTCAATATTTTATTTTTGATTTTTTACTATAAAACTAAGTACTAATATTTAAAAAAAATGTTCTTATTTTAAAATAGTAACTAATTCGTCGAAAAATATTAGGACAAATAGTAACAACTTATGTATAATTAAACAAGATATTATTTAAAATATAAAATGTAAATAATTACCTAGACCTAACACTGATAATAAGATAAAGGCGAAGCGTGTCTGACGTCCAAAACCGGGAAAGATCGCCAAAATGATCGTTAAGAACCAAATTATAAAATAATTAGGACCAAATAATTTATTTTATATCTTAAACTTTCATTAAGGTTATGAGAAAATTCATCAGCTATTTATAAAAGAAGCTCTTAAAGCGCTTGGAACTTTTCCAATGATGTTTTTAGCCATCCTGCACTTCCTATGTTACTGTTGCAAGCCTGCAGTCACTCATTGTAACGAAAGACTGCATTTTAAACAAATTGAAATTGATACAAATTGATATAAATGACCTGGCTGTTTGAGCAGATCAAGCTAACTAATAATTACCTAGGAGCAACTAAAGGCATGAGAGAGAGAGAGAGAGAGAGAGAGAGAGAGAGAGAGAGAGAGAGAGAGAGAGAGAGAGAGNGTGAGAGAGAGAGCGGCTGATATATTATCTGAATTTTTATATAAGTATTAAAATAATATAGGAAATAAGTTGTAAATTTATGCAGTATTAATTTGTAACAAGCAGGTGGAAGATTATGATGTTGGGGTCACCGATAATACAATTTTTTATGGCAATACCAGGTCGAATATTAGAAAAGTGTCTGACCGTTCTTGCCAATGGCCTAGGTGCCGAGAAAAACAGTTTTAATTAATTTAAATTGTTATTACAAAATATGGCAGTATTGGTTATGCAATTAATTCACTTTATTATATAGCAGTAAAAAAATGTCAAGAGCATTTGAAAGGCAAAAACTATTAAAATAATTTATTTTCTGAATTTTTATTGTGTTTTTAAATCAAATGTATGCCCTTATGTGGAGTTTGTAAGATTCTAACCCCATCTCAAGTATCCTTTCGATCAGTGGACTCGTTTTAACATTATCGGGTTTTTTTGTGGTTTTCAAAAAAAAGAAAGGAATTTGGAAAAAACCTTTATATTTGGATTTTTCACAAAAGTTTCGCTTTTATCAGAGGATTCGTTTCATCATTTTAGGGGTTTGTGTGTGTGTGTGTTTTTTTTTAAAGAGAATGAATTTGGAAAAAACATTTATATTTGGATTTTTCACAAAAGTTTCCTTTTGATAAGAAAAGTTGTGTCAATATTATCGATTTTTTTTAAAGAAAAGGAATTTGAAAAAACCCTTATATTTGAATTTTTCACAAAAAATTGTATTGAGGTTTTTTTAAATCAAATTTTTGCCCTCACGGGCAGTTTGTAAGGTTCTAACCCTATCTCAGGTATCCTTTCGATCAGTGGACTCGTTTTAACATTATCGGGTTTTTTTGTGGTTTTAAAAAAAAAGAAAGGAATTTGGAAAAAACCTTTATATTTGGATTTTTCACAAAAGTTTTGCTTTTATCAGAGGATTCGTTTCAACATTTTAGGGATTTTTGTGTGTGTGTGTGTGTGTGTGTGTGTGTTTAAAGAGAATGAATTTGGAAAAAACATTTATATTTGGATTTTTCACAAAAGTTTCCTTTTGATAAGAAAAGTTGTTTCAACATTATCGATTTTTTTTTAAAGAAAAGGAATTTGGAAAAACCGTTATATTTGGCTTTTTCACAAAAATTTGTATTGAGGTTTTGTAAATCAAATTTCTGCCCTTAAGGGCAGTTTATAAGGTTTTAACCCCATCTCAACTATCCTTTTTATCAGTGGACTCGTTTTAACATCATCGGGTTTTTTGTGGTTGTCGAAAAAAAGAAAGGACTTTGAAAAAACTTTGTTATATTGTGATTTTTAATTAAATGTATGCCCTTACGTGTAGTTTGTAAGATTGTAACCCCATCTCATGTTTCCCTTCGATCAGAGGAGTCGTTTCAACATTATCGGTTTTTTTTTTTGTTTTTTTTTAAAAGAGAATGAATTTGGAAAAAAACGTTTATTTTTGGATTTTTCACAAAAGTTTCCTTTTGTTCAGAGGAGTCTTTTCAACATTATCGTTAAAAAAAAAAAAATAAAAAGGAATTTGAAAAAACCCTTATATTTGAATTTTTCACAAAAAATTGTATTGAGGTTTTGGAAAACAAATTTCTACCCTTACGGGCAGTTTATAAGGTTCTAACCCCATATAAAGTATCCTTTTGATCAGTGGACTCGTTGTAACATCATCGGGTTTTTTGTGGTTTTCGAAAAAAAGAAAGGACTTTGAAAGAACCTTGCTATATTGTGATTTTTCGCAAAAATTTGTATTCAGGTTTTTTAAAATTAAATGTATGCCCTTACGAGTAGTTTGTAAGATTGTAACATATTGTATTTGGAAAAAACTTTTATATATGGATTTTTCACAAAAGTTTTCTTTTGTTCAGAGGAGTCGTTTCAACATTATCGTTAAAAAAAAGAGGAATTTGGAAAAAAACCGTTATATTTGAATTTGTCACAAAAAATTGTATTGAGGTTTTGTAAATCAAATTTCTACCCTTACGAGCAGTGCAGTTTATATGGTTCTAACCCCATCTCAAGTATCCTTTCGATCAGTGGACTCGTTTTAACATTATCGGGTTTTTGTGGTTTTCGAAAAAAAAAAGAAAGGAATTTGGAAAAAAACCTTGTTATTTTTCTCAAAAATTTGTATTGAGGTTTTTTTAAATCAAATGCATGCCCTTACGTGAAGTTTTTAAGATTCTAACCCCATTCTCAAGTTTCCTTTCGATCAGAGGAGTCGTTTCAACATTATCGGGGTTTTGTGCTTAATTTATTTTTTTTGGAAACAAAAAGAGAATGAATTTGGAAAAAACCTTTATATTTGGACTTTGCACAAAAGTTTCCTTTGGATCAGAGGAATCGTTTCAACATTATCGTGCTTTTTGTATTTGGAAAAAACCGTGTTGTATTGTGATTTTTCGCAAAAATTTGTATTGAAGTTTTTTAAATTAAATTTCTGCCCCCATAAGGTTCTAACCTCATCTCAAGTATCCTTTGGATTAGTGGCCTCGTTTTAACATCACGGTTTTTTTTATTTTTCGATAAAACGAAAGGAATTTGGAAAAAACCGTGTTATATTCTGATTTTTTCACAAAAAAATGTATTCAGGTTTTTTAAATCAAATTTCTGCCCTTACATGAAGTTTATAGGGTTGTAATTTTGTGTAAATTATCTTGTAATTTTACGGTCTCGTTTCAAAATTATCACCAATTCGAAGGAAAAAAATTAAACCATTTACAAGGGAAAAAAATAAAAGAAAAACTATTTTTTGAATTTCTGAAAAAAATTGTATTTAGGTTTTTTGTGGTTAATTTCATGATTTTAATAGAAAATTTTGAATATATACACCCTAGGAATTTGATACCACTGGTTCACTTTTGTGTGTCTGTGTATAAGGATATGGCAAACTTTAACCACCATCATATTGTCGCTTATAATAATTATATGATTATAATATAAATATAAAAATTATCTAAACACTAAGCAACCTAATTAAATCTTAAAAATTAATTTTATGCAATTAATTGAAGTTATTATATATCACTTTAAAATAAAGTCAAAAGCATTTGAAAGGCAAAAACGATGAAAACAATTTATTTTCTGAATTTCATTAAAAAAATTTGTTGAGTTTTTTAAATCAAATTTATGCCCTTACGTGTAGTGTATGGTTCTAACCCTATTAATATGTCGAAAACCGCCAAATTTTTTAATTTCTATATGATAGTACTGAAAACATGAATACTTTTGTTAGAATGATAAGTCCTCAATAATTAGGAATAAAATTTTGGTCTTCTGTTGAAGATAAAATCCAAGAATTGGTGAAAAATCAATTATTAAATTTTATTGGTTTGTCAATTCTTATCAAAGAAAAATGCTCAATGATCAACTTATTTCGACAATTGCAGATAAGTCCAGTTACGTGTAGGTAAACAGAAAATCCATTTTTTACGACATCAAGAAAGCTTCGATTTTGTTTTCTTACCTTGCATGGTGCAGCAGAGTACTTTGGATACGATGCGAGACATCGCCTTCCATCGGTGTAGGTGAAGAGTTGGGGACGTCTAAGTTTCGAAGCCATCGCACTAAGACTGGACTGTCAAAAGGGCTTGGAACCCGATGAACCCCACCACGGGTACACGGCTTCCCTCACTTCTCTCTCGTATCGCGGTTCTCATTCCAAAGCGGACTCGGCTTTTTTCGAATGTTTTTGGTAATTTGGCAATGGGGTTTGACGTAACGCCGGCAGCTTCCTGAATACACCAATTAAAAATCTTAACGCATTAGCGAACTTGTTACGCAAAGAGGTCCTCTCGGAAAATATCAGGAATTGGATCGAGAATGATTTGAACAACGAACGCACCGATCCGTTAGTTTTGGAATATTCTATACGGATGGATTGAGCTTTTAACATTTCTGAGTACATTTGGACACTTTATATCTGAAACTGCAAATAAAACTTAACTATTTGGCTAATTTTGGCTTATTTAAATCAACACTAGCAATAAGCCATATTAGGTTAGTGGTCATAATTGATCATATTTATTATTGAAATAAATAATTCTTTTTAAACTAAGGTTTTTGGTAGAGATGTAAAATTATTGGCACGAGCGGGATTCGAACCCACGACCTTCAACTCGAGTCAAGATAACTCAAGTGGTTAGATCAGCGCGTTTAGCCGAAGGTAGTTGGCTCGAATCCCTTCGTGACACTAACTTTTTCATCTCAACCAAGACCTTAGATAAAAAGGATATTTGTTTTTTATTAGGACGAATTTATTTATTTGCGTGAATGGAATAGCTTATCTCCCAACATGAAATTCGAGTACTCTGAGTGGAAATGAGTTATGGAGTATGTATGTAATTTATTAGCGTGAATGGCAGGGTTTATACCCAATAACCCCGAAGAATACCGAGTATTCTGGGACAGTGAGAATGTAATTTATTAGTCCATATAAGTTTAGCGGTCATAATATACCATATTAATTATTTCAATTAATTATTATTTTTAACTAAGGTCTTGTTTATTAAAATTTGTGTTGCGAGCGGGATTCGAACCAAAGACCTTCATCTGAAGTCAGGATAGCTCAAGTGGTTACAGCAGCGGCGTGTTAAGCCGAAGGTAGTTGGTTCGAATCCCCTCGTGACACTAACATTTTCATCTCAACCAAGACCTTAGATTAAAAAAAATTAACTGAAGTAATTTATTAGCGTGAATGAAGGAGCTTATGCACAATTACCCCTAGGATTATCGAGTACTCTTGGATAGTGTCAAGATAACTCATATTCCATAAGGGACAATCATGCTTCTAGAAAATCAGACTACCACCGTTTCAACAGCCTTGGCAGAACCAACACTGGCTGATTTCCACCCCGTTTGCATACAGGTATACTCGGCGTATTAGACGGCCGATAAAAGAAGATTTTCAAAACACGCACCTGTTGTAAGCTATTTTAATTTGTGGCCAATCCCTCAAAGAAACTAATTCAAATAGCTTAAACTTCTTCTCAATAAATGTGCTTCTACCTTTAACCAAAATTTCGTTTATCCGACCAAAACTTGTTTCTCCTGCTTAAGAAGTGGTGTGCAGCAAAGTCGAACCGAATATTCCTAAAAAAATAACACCTAAGTGTGTATATTGGCTTAATTAACTGGTTGCTTATCAAAGAACAGTGTTTTTACACTTACTCGACGGTCGGAAAACATGTTGATTTAACTCTTCCCTGATCGTCCTATAATGCAAAATTATGTTACTGACAGCTCATCATTAATTATATTCAATTAATTATTCTTTGTATGTAAGGTCTTGGTTGAAATGAAAAAGTTAGTGTCACGAGCGGAATTCGAACCCACGACCTTCGGCTATCCTGACTTCAGCCGAAGGTCGTGGGTTCGAATCCCGTTCGTGACACTAACTTTTTCATTTCAACCAGACCTCACATAAAAAGAATAATTAATTGAAAGTACTAATTTGGTTAATCAGACCAATAAACAAAATGTACTAATTATATTGTAGATAACAGACAACATACATTGTAAACAAAATACATTATTGAGGGATTAACATTTAACCAGCTGAATCAAAAAATTAATTATATGCTTAAGCTATATGTAAACTGAATTGGATATTTTCTTTCAAAGTATACTCAAAAAAGTTTTGTTATTAAATAAGGACCGCTAAACATACAAGGATTGATATGAAATTTTTTTAAGGGACTGGCAATAAGTTTGAAACTCTCCCTTATCGTCTCTTGTGGAAAATAATTGATTAACGTGCTATGTTTTCCCGCCACCTATCAACAAGACCTTAATCAACGCACTTTCAAGAAAATAGAACTCATTAAGTTCGTCCATTGTGTCCAACCACCTTGTTCTAACGAGGATTTCGGACGTATTCGTCGGAACTAAATTTCGTCATAATTCGCATCCATAGTTACCGTAGCTTTAATCTCCATCGAGGATTGGTTAGCGGATTAAGGGATTTGAATGATCTGGTAAGTTAAAGAGACATTTTTTGAACGAAATTCGGCTTGTTCGGATCCGAATGGGATATTTGAGCCGGTATGAATTGAATTGTTCGAACTATTCAGTGTATGATGATTTTCGATCTAGGATCAAAAAAAGTTTCATTAAAATAGATCATCACACTTCCATAATCTCTCTCTTTTTAGTAACAAATTAATAAAAATACATCTACCAATCTGGTATATATTCTTATACTTATTTCAAAAAAACATCGGATCATTAAAAGTTTTGATTTTATTCGAGTAGTTAATTGACAAATTTAATGATCTATATTGAAAGTTAAATATCTGTAAATATTGCGTACTTAGAAGTAGCTTAAATATCTCGGTAGAAAAATGGCCACATCTTGGTATATGCTGGTTTTCTCTAAAATCCTACTCAACCTAGAAAAATCTCATGGAACCTGGAAACCTGTTATATTTTATTGTTATATTCTGTATTTTACTCTGGAAGATTTGGACTGTTTCTTAATTCATACGAAAACCCTTGAGGCACAAACTGGTTCGACGATGTGGACCTGTTTTCTAAAACAAGCAACATGTACAAGTCAAAAGAACATTGAAAAAAAAGTTCAAAAAGCATACTAGAATACTTTTATTGCTTTTTACTGGTATTTGAATAATTAAAAATAAATAAAATCGAGTGAAGCTGTGTTTACCTTTATTTTATCGCCCATTTAAATAACTGTGAATGTAGATCAACGACCTTTTCAGTACAATTAGAATTGAAAGAAAACTTTAAAAACTTTATTTTTTTATTGATCAAATTTAAATATTTTTTATTTGAGTGGAAACTATTTAGTTAAGAAATGAGCTATATAATTTAATAGTTCATTTTTATTAATTAATCTTTTTATGTAAGGTTTTGGTTGAAATAAAAATTTAGTGTCACGAGCGGGATTCGAACCCACGACCTTCGGGAGTTGGTGTCCGAGTGGATCGAAGTCACGATAGCTCAAGAGGTAGAGCAGCGGCGTACTGTGCCGAAAGTCGTGGGTTCGAATCCCGCTCGTGACACTCACTTTTTATTTTAACTAAAACCTTAATAAAAAGAATAATCAATTGAAAAATTGGTTATTTGGTCAATATACCACTAAATATATTGGGGTTAATTTTTATGTTCGTGACGTAACTAAGAAAGGCTATTGTTCATGAACTGTCCCGAAATGACCTCACTCAAGGTTTGGTTGATACACAACTGTCAACCATCCGCATGAAATTTCGAAATTTATCTCCTGCATCAGTTCACATCTAAGTCAGCGGGAAATTTAAATCTTCGGTCTTTTTTACGCATTTTTTTATTATAAGACTGAAATGGATAATTATGGTAATTGGATATGATTTTGTTAAACCTGAAGTAGGCCCTTGTAAGGAAAAAAAACTTTCTTAGATTTTGAAAACTTAAGAACTTTATTCCCCGTTGCGGGCCTTAATCATGAGCTTAAAAATTCGTAATTGTTCCCAAGGGATAGTAACTGGATTAACTCGTCGGGTTTCTTGCACGCCTTATTGAAAAAAGCTTTCAAGACATTTTAATAGTTAATTAAAGGGAGTGAAAAGTTTTAACACTTGTTAACCCGTAACTGCGGACTCTCAAATTGTAAGCATAAAGGCAATTTTAAAGTTTGAAAGTGTTAACAAGCTTTGAAGAGTATAGAGGGAAATCGTAGTCACATAATAATCCTGCACTGCATTTACAATTATTAAGTCAGCTTACGTTTTTGTTCTGATGACCTGAGAATGTTTCGATCTGATAATTCGAGGGATTTCAATTAATTTTCGAACCCGGGATGCGTGCGTTTGACAGACTTCACCTCCAGTTCTGCCGTATTCGGCATATATAACTTAATTAAAAAATAATCCGTGGAAATGTGAAACAAAACCGCCGAGCAAATCGAATCCGTTCCAAGAAACCGAAACGATCGGAGTTATCACTTTTTTTGATTAGCTAGGACAAAGTGGATAATTGTCAGTGAAAAACAGATGTGCTCATGAATAACAGTTCATGTGGTTTCTGACGATTTGAAGAGGTGTGTTTGAACTTGGCCAATATTGAATTTTATTACATATGAATTAGAGCAATCGCAATTTTATGATAAACCTAAATAACTAAAACAAATAAAACATTATTCTAAATACAAACATCCAGAACATTGGAAGATGTAACATGATTAAACAAATAACATAAAGGCTGAGGTTTCAGTTACTTGACAAACTAAGTGCAAAGTTACACCTCACCAACTAGAATAGTAGGTTCAACACTAGTAACGAGCAAAACTCATCCACATTAAATATAAACTGTATTTTGTTTAATAATATTAATAATTCATTCCATATACAGATACACCATATGAAAATACTTTTCTATAAATTTAATCCTTTATACTATTAATTAACAAGAAAAACATTTTCTTGTGTAAAACTTGAATAGAATTTTTTAAAAACATTTAAAATCTTTTAAAAAACATTAAAATTATTATTATCGGGTAGTCTCATTGTTTTAACTTTATTTACGTTTAACAAACATTTAATTTGCTTCTATTTTGACTTTTAACTTTATTGGACTTGGGGTTTTC